AGCCGAGACGAGCTCCCCGCCTTCTCCGGCCCCCGCAACCCTGGCGCCCTCGGCTGTAGTGCATGCCCTTCCTCCCCGCGACACCGAGGGCGGCGCAGCTCCGGGATCTCGGCTCCGGCAGACTTCCGGGAGAAGGAGGCTTTTCTTCTCCAAAATCCACCGGACTCTGGATGCTCTTTGTTTTTGCAGTGGAAAATTACAGTTTAAGCACATAGCCGTGAGCTGCCGGCTTCACTTCCTGGAGGCTTTTTTGTTGTGTCCTGAAACTGGGAATCTCTGCAGGTCATCCGTGTAAGTGGGACCGTGCAGCGGTTCCCACGGGGGTCGTGCGGCTTCGCGCCTTGAACCTCAGCTGATGCCGAGGTTGCGTTTCTCTAGATCCGAGATTTCTCCTCTGGTGGGCTAACATCGCCAGTCTTGACAACATGGAAATGATTGTGTGCACGGTGGGGGTGGAATATATATATGAGAGATTTTTAGCCCTCCCATAAAATAGTTAAAATATTCTCTAAAACAATAACAATCCTAAAAAGTGAAGTGTTATTTTTTTCTGGAGTACTGTTTAGTCGGTGGAACTATGAAAAATAACATTCACTAGTTCATCTATAGTCGTTATACTGCATAAAGCAACTTGATAAAATTAACAGCAATGGCGAAAGCCCAAATGCTTGTTCTGCATGTCTTGTTTTAGCGTGTTTAACATTATGTCATGGGTTGTAAATCACACGTCATCTGCTCTTTGTGTGTGTTTCCCAGTTCTTTCGCCAGAGAAGCAGAATCTCTGCTCCAAAGCAGAGCAGTTTTAACACTTCCTCCCAGAGAAGTTCGACTTAGAGAGTTCCCAATACAGTTATAAAGGCGATGCACACAGGGTGTCCTTCCCAGAGACAGTTTGCTTCGTTTTCTTTTAAAATAAGTTAAAGGCTAGGAAATCACAAATTTAAAATTAGCAAGTCACTCCAGAACCAGAACGAGGCAGCTTTACAATGGAAAGGTAATATAATAGACAATACTGAATTTACAAAAATTGGACCTTCGGGCCATGTCTGTCACACCTATATAAAATCAAAAGATAGTGTGATGAACATTGTTTATTTGGTTTTTTTTTGGGGGGGGGTTGGTTTTTTGAGACAAGGTCTCATTATGTAGTTGAGACTGAACTGGAACTCACTATGTAGTAGCCCAGGCTGATCTTGAACTCACAGCGATCCTCCGCCTGAGCCTCCCAAATGCTGGGATTACAGGCGTGTGCCACCAGGCCCGGCTGTGATGAATGTTTTAATAAATTACACCATCAGTAGTAATAAGGCTGTGCCTTCATGTTGACAGGATGTATACACAAATGGAAGCCATTTTCCCTAACCCTTGTCCCTGTTGCCTTTTGTTGCTTAACTCCCTGGGATTTGGATATTCCCCATCGGAGGTTCCATGCAGGAGCCCATGGGATTGTACTTGTCTTCTGGTCCTATCTGTTGGGCCTGATGTGCTGTATCTTAAACTTTTCATTTAGTTATGGCTGTTTAGAATTGGGAGGTTTCATGTGGAAAGCTGGACTGTCTTCTCTGAAATACTAGAAGACCCGGCTGCCCTAGGTGGGACTGGGCTGGATCTGCATAGCAGGATTAGACATGGGGGTGTCAGGCTGCACTTCGTTGCTGTCCACCACTGACCCTGCCCTTCACTGTTAAGATACCTGTCTGTCCTATGTAGGTGCTCTTCCTACTCCTAGTCCAGACAGACTGCTTCCCTCACCACTCTCTGTCGTGGAATTATTACAGTCAAACGTGACCAAGAAATGCTAGAATCTTCACCTGATATACATTAAATTCTCAAGTCTGGATTCCCAGAAATGCATTTAGGCAAAGTCAACCAATCAGAAGTTGACTGTGTACATTTCTGGAAGACAAGCACTAGGCAATGTCCTGATTTCTGCCATTCTGCATTTTCTTACGGTGCAGAGGGATGTGGTAGTGATAGCATGTGTGGTCTCAGGACAGAAATTTGGAATCCTCAGAAATTTGGATACCTGCTTATTACTTGATATGTGATGTTAAGCATCTATTTACCATCCCTGGGTTTGCTTCCTCCAACACAAGGTAGTTACCGGCATGCCACTAAAGTTTAAATTAGTATATGTGAAAAGCACTTGGAATAGTACCTGGCCAACAGTAACCAATGAGAATAGCAGTTTCCCTTACTCTTGGGATTTGTTACTACTGTGAGTGCTTGAGGATTCTTCTTAGATCTTTTCCTTTATCAGTAGAAAGGTTGGCAGTAAATTTCCTGGGATATTTACTTACAATTCCAGTTTTGGGTCCCTCGCCCAAGATTTTGATCCAGGGGGACCCAAAGGAGGCCCAGGGCATGGGTATTTCACAATTATTTCTGGAACAAGAGTTCTCAGACCATGTTAGGGAGAGCCCATCCTGGATTATCCCCGTACAACCATTCAAATGAATGAGGCAGAGAACCAGGGAGGAAGCCTGGGGCAACTCCCTGGCTGGTCCTGGCCAGCGTGCTGACCCTGCAGCTCCATCTAATGCCCTCTCTGGACCCCAGGTGCCTCCTCATCAGTTCATAGGCATTTATCGAGCCCCTACTAGAAATATGCAGAAGTGAACACTGGCATTCAGGGCTAGGTGAAGTGGTTTCTGGCCTTAGGGAACTCAGGAAATCCAATACAAAGCCCAGGGCTCAGGATTCATGTTCCCTTCCCACCACAGTTCCTTTAATACCATCCCTAATGCCACCTTCTTCCCAAAGATGCTGCTTAGTGACACCTCCCACCCAGGAGTGTGCATTTTCATGTCATACTACGGAGCTGGGTGTAGCAATCACTTCTGCATTACACCCAAACACTTAGTCCAGTAGTTTAGGTGCTCATTAGATATTTTTAGAATTTAATTTCCTAGGGCAAACTTGTCTTGGGGAATTAGTTTGCATTCATTCATCAAATAGAAAGCATCTTATAAGAGCAAGGCACAGTTTCAGAAATTGGGTACACAGTGGGGAACAACATTAAAATCCCTGCCCTTGTGGGTCTTTCGATGGGGATGACAGACCATATAAACAAGGTGGAATTTTTGTCAGTTCAGATGTTATCTGTGCCCTGACATCTGCTGCAATCTTGTTTGCTCTGTGACTCCTGCTCCATTTCTCTGCCAAATGGACTTGTTTCTTAACTGTGGCCTATATAGCCCTCACCCTGGTGTGACTTTATCTGTAGCTAGAGAGCTCCCCTCTCATGCTGTAGCTTTTGCGCGTCTGTGTGCCTGCTAGGCAAGCACTCTTCCACTGAGTTACACCCTCAACCCGCTTGCACTTTGAATCTGGCATCTATGTCTTTTCCAGGCTGTGACCAAGATCAAGCATTCCTCTCCAAAAGCCCAAAGCTTCCACAAAGTCTATGGTGTCACCAGGCTAGCTTCCTTCAGTTTGTAAAGAAGGTTTTTCTTCTCTTTTAAAATTTATTTATTTATTTATTTATTTATTTTATTTTATTATTATTTTTTTTTTTTTTTGCAGTGCTGGGGATGAACCCAGGCCTTCACACATGCTAGGCAAACGCTAACCACTGAACTACACCCCAGGCCCGCTCTGCCCCACCTTCTGCTTTTCTTGTCTGATGGGAGCAGCTCTTGAGATTATTCTCAGTTAGAAGAAAACCTACACATCATGGTGAACAATGGTAAATCACCAGGTCACTACGAGTTCTAGGGATTTTCTTCTCCAGTCATTATCATGGCCAGTATTTGCTTGGCACACATGTTTCATTACATTGTTAGGTGACTCAGAATTTAATGATCAGTTGTTTTTTTTTTTTTAAATTGAAAGCCAGACTGGGTGGCACATGCCTGTAATCCTAGCACTTGGGAGGCTGAGGCAGGAGGATCACTGTGAGTTTGAGACCAGCCCAGGCTACACAGTGAGTTCCAGGTCAGTTTCACTACATAGTGAGACCCTGTCTCAAAACAAAAAAACAAATAAATAAAAATAAAAATTGAGACACAGTCTCACTACGTGCTTCAGGCTGGGCCTTGAAGGTGGAAGATCCTCCTGCCTCAGCCTCCCAAGTGCTGTGTTTATAGCCCTGTACCATCATGCCCAGCTAATGGTCGATTTTGATTCGTAGACTTGCCACATTTAATTTGCTCTATAAGTAGCTGGAGAAACCTACACATGACTACACATACTCATATATAAGACAAAAATGGCACAGGCTGGCTGGGGGCGGTGAGTCACCCCTCCTGGGGAAGCTGTTTGATTTGGTTTTTTGCTTGTTTGTTTGTTTTTATTTTTTGTTTTTTTTTGGGGGGGTGGATTCTGAGACAGGGTTTCACTATGTAGTTGTGAAGGACCTGGAACTCACTATGTAGCCCAGGCTGGTCTCGAACTCACAGTGATCCTCCTGCCTCAGCCTCCCGAGTGCCGAGTGCTAGGATTATAAGCGTGGTTATTAGTGATTTCCATCCTTAATTGCTTTGATTATACTTCGACTTAGTTTTTCTCAAAGTGAGCCTCAGAAATAGCACTTGTGGAGTTACGAACACCTGGCTGTTTGATTTGTTTTTGAAGGCCGAACAGAGCTGCTGATGAGGAGAGATTTCTAAAGTATCCAGAGAACATAATCTGGGACTCCAGAAGGCTAAAGGACTCCAGCTAGCCAAAGAGGGATGAGGAAAAGACAGAGAGTGAAAGGGAGCAGGATTGCTCATTAGGT